GTGACATTACAAAAAAGTGGTATAGGGTTAATAAAATTGACAGTGTATAGATAATCTGTTACAACAAATCGATCAGAAATACTTCCAACCTCCTTGGAATCTGCAGAGGGTGTGCAAAAAACCTTTTAGCTTTATATTACATTAGATAGTTTTCCGGTGGAATCAGAGAAGTTCATAGCATTTCTCATCTATACTGGTTGCGAATGCCGACAGAAGGGAAGCATGACGATTGTTTTGAATTCAGACATAGTTTTAGACCTCTTGAGATTTTTGCTCTTTAAATTCATATTAGATTCCGAACCATACACATGAAAACAGAAAAAGTCCAGAAGATGTCTTAGGCAGGTCACCAGCGAGCGCCGACCGAATGGAGATGTGAGCATTATTTTGAATTCATAAATATCTTTAGACCTCTACAGATTTTTGATTTATATATTTATATTAGCTTACGAACTTATACATAAAAAAAGAAAAGCAATCCAGAAGATGCCTTAGTTAGGGCCCCAGCGAGCGCCGACCGAAGGGAGGCGTGAGCATTGTGTTCGATTTATAAGTCACCAAAGGGCGTTCGCTTGTGCAGGTCTAACTTAATAAAGTCAAGGGACCGAGCGTTACTTTGTTCCCTTGACTTTAGTCTATGGCCTTATAGAATAATTGCCTGTGTGTCTGTGCGCAAAATACGGAAAAATGGCTGTCAGATATTCTATGGATAAGCCAATCATAAGCGAGAAGCATAAAAAAAGTCTTTTTAACCACGCGAGAGAAAATATTCAAAGAGATAATCTGAAATATCTACTGATGCAGAGAGAAAAAAGGCTAAGGAAACATTTTCTGTAGACCGGTGATAGATGCCGCCAGATAGCAGTCAGCTGTAATAATACAAAAAAAGTCGTCTACGAATAATAAAACTTACGGTGTAGAGATAATCTATCATAGAGAATTGATTAAAAATAATTCCAATCTCCGTAGGATCCGTAGAGGGTGTCCAGAAAACAGCTTATTTGGCTTTATTTACATTACATGGTTTTTCTGTGGAATCAGCGAAGTTCACAGCTTCTCTCATCTATAGTAGCTGCTAATGCCGACCGAAAGGAACGTGAGCATTGCTTTGAATTCAGAAATATTTTCAGACCTCTGGGGTTTTTGTCTTTTATATTTATATTAGATTAGGAACCTTACACATGAAAACTGAAATCAGGAAGATGGCTTAGTTGTGCTCCCAGCGTCCGCCGACCGAAGGGAAGCGTGAGCATTATCTTATTTTTCTTCCGTTTAAAATTTTTTTCTTATCTGCTCGTATATATGTGCACAGCACTTTATTTCTCTCTATAGAAAAGAACAAATTGTCTATTTTAATCTGGATATTCATTTATTCCATGTTCCAAAAGAAGCAGTGCTCATCTGATATTCTGCCAACTTCTCAGATTAAAATTAAATTAACTAGAGAGGATCCGTCTCCACTTCTTATACTAGTTTAAAGTACACAAGTTGTACTATATACTGATGTATTTTCTAAAAAAGCCCCTTTTTAGTTCTTGAGATATGTAGCTCGCAATATTGATGATTAACGTCACCTTCACTTTTTTGCAAATCTATTCAGTAGTTCTGGTACGGCTAGCATATTTTAGCCTACTTACTGAGGAAGATCCCTTTATTTAAACATAAAGTTTAAAACACGCAAAAAAGGAAAATAAAGAAAGCTATCTATTCCACTATTAGCCAATTAATAAATCGTCATCAAGATCTATTTAAACATAAAGTTTAAATAAAGGTATCTTCCTCAGTAAGTAGGTGAAGGTGTGAGTTGAGAAATCAGCAGTCATGACGAAATGAGGATAACTGTAAGAAGCGGTCACTTTTAAGATACTTTTGATCTGAAAATTTCCTTGGTACATAAATTACACTTAGCTTTCTTTACAATTTCATTATTAATTTTCACTGCTAATTTTTTACAATGCTTCCAAATAGATGCTTGCTTTGGCTGTGGTTCTAGATCTCCTTCTTCTTGTTGTTCAGTATCTTGATCGCTGTTTAATGAATTTGTTGCTGTTGAATTATTTGTATATGTTGTTGTGGATCGTGTTCTTTCATCTGATGTTTCTGAGACGGTAATTCGAGACAATGTCGATGTCGAAGCTTGTTCATCGTCTTCAAAAGTATCTAACGTAGCATTCAGACGCCTTACACCGAAAACACGTCCACCCAGATTCCTCTTTGTTCTATTTGATTTTCCTCTCGTATTCTTTTCTGTTGATTTTGCACGGCCCATTCTTTTTAATGAATAATATGATGCAACAAACCAGCGATTAAAATTAATACAAACAACCGCTTTTCAAAGTCTGATTATTTAAATTGATACAAATGTTTCAAAATGAGAAGGATCTTGTTAGCCAGAGGCAGGCAGGATAAGGCAGGAAATTCGTGAAGAACAAAAGTAGTATCGAAAAAAATTTCTTATTGACAGAAAATAAACAGCCGCCATAGACCACAACATTATGCAATAACTGATCTCTATAATAGTTAGACTAGTGCACTATCAACATGCTAATGCACTTGGGAATTAACCAGTTATACAGATGTAAAGTAAGTGCCACGTTAATAAAAAGCCCTTGTGATATTACATAGGTAAAGTTAGCGGCAGCTTCATGTACTTCTTCGTCCTGGTGCTCGTACCAACTCCAAAAATGGTTGGGCCTGTATAATTCGATTAGCTCTATCCATTGGTATATTCTGTTGCTTGAGCTCATTTTAAAAGTGCTCAGAATCAAAATCACATTATCTTTCCTAACGTTCTTTTAATAAAACCACTGATCTAACGGCCAACAAGAAAAAAGTGCTTCCTTTCGTGATTCTAAGACGTCTAAGGCTGTAGCAACACCATCGCTTGACCGTTAGATCCCAAACTTCTTAGATATGATTTACTTTTTAAAGAGGCTTAACGTTATGTACAACGTCTTTTCTAGACAAGAACTTCCGAACAGTTTCCATATATTGAGAACAATTAAATCTCAATTTCAAAAATGATGTGTTTTCGTGATGAAATAACTAAATAAACAGGAAGTTTGGTGTGCTTATCTATAACAAGTATTCACAACAAAGCATATTCAACATAGAAAAAGGACTTTATATATAATATCATTTTAACGTGCATAGATAAAAACACTAGTTACAATGTGAATTATTATAATAATACGTGTAGATAAAAATATTATTATAAATCTTTCTTACTACGTTGAATTACTGTTCTGTTTCTAC